TGTAGGGAACGAATGCACTTACTTCAGTAGTATGTCTTGGATACTTCACTTATATAGGATATAAACTAAATAAATCTAAGCGATGAATCATGGAATATTATCTCGATGATCATGGACTCCATATGTTAGATTAAGTATATCCATAGGTATATTATCATATAGATGAGCTGAATTTTACTTTTACTTTAAAGAGTACATCATACATATTAATGAAGTTGATTGATGGAGTGTTAATTAGTTTTTAAATTATAGGAAATTTTGTAAACTTGATTTATTTAATAGTAATTTTCAATTCAATGGTCAGATTAATGAAATTCAATGTTCATAAAAAGGTATTAATCATAGCAAATTTGACAGCACTTAGTCCTAGACTACGTGAATCTCCCCACATATATAATTTCAGGAATAATTCATAATATCATATATAAGCTTCAAAACAATACCTAGATATATGTCATGTGTCAAAATGAAACGAAAAAGTTACGGAAAATGAAACTGGTAAATGATAAAGATGCTCATCTTATTATTATTATTGTTGTTGTAAGTTGCTTAAAGTATTGTTTGTGTATCTGAATAATTTTTTAAAATAGTCACATCCGGATATGTGTTCTCAATATGTCATGTTAGACACAGCAACACCAAAATGGCATCTGTGCTTTATAGGTTTGTGAGCTTATGTCTTTGTGGTTTTTACATTAAAGGCTTGAATTACTAGACAAATTCTGTCTGTTTTGTTTTAATCCCTATGGACCTATTTGGCTTTTATTTGAAGAAGTTCCTTGTGATAAGATTTGGAACTATTTCTGCAGGCCTTTCAACTCCAAAAAAACGTCTACATTTTATCCTCCCCTTTTATATATTAGCTGTATGTGGTATTTAGTTTCTATTTATATACACCTAGTAAATATTTTGTCTTGGCCACACAGTGGATTTAATTTTATATTACGTATACCACTTATAAAATTATCCAGATCAATAATTGTGTGTGCTTGATATCTTTACCTTTATTATTCATTTTGAAATTTCTTGTCTGAGCACTATAAACTCCCTGTACCTATTACTTAGTTGTACTGCACCTATTTTGTTTGTTTTCTTAGCTTGACCCCGTATCCTAATTGAGTTAGAATATGCTCTGGATCTCTGGCATTTTTTTTGGGAGAAATGAATTTGAATAGGTGTTGGTGTTCTGCTATATGTTGTGAATAAGTTTATTTCATCAGGGAATGCATAAACGATTTTGGTAAACCTATATGTATTTTATTTACCTTGATTTTCTTGACCTCTTAGCTTTTTAATTGATATGAAATTACTTTATTATCTAGGGAGTGGGAAGACATATACTATGCAACCATTGCCTCTCAAAGCTTCCCAAGATATTTTAAGATTAATGCACCATACATACCGGAACCTGGGTTTCCAATTGTTTGTTAGTTTCTTTGAAATATATGGGGGAAAACTTTTTGATCTCCTCAATGATCGAAAGTAAGTCATCATCTTGCGAGCTGGAATAAGTATCTCTTTGAGGGTTATTTGCTTGATTAGTTTATGATTTTGTAGAAAACTTTGCATGAGGGAGGATGGGAAACAGCAGGTTTGCATTGTTGGCTTGCAAGAATTTAGAGTATCTAAAGTTGAGACAATCAAGGAATTTATTGAGAAAGGAAATGCCTCAAGAAGTACTGGTACAACTGGAGCAAACGAGGAATCCTCCCGATCACATGCTATACTTCAGCTTTGTATTAAGAGATCAGCTAATGGAACTGAATCAAAGCCTGCTCGAATTGTGGGCAAATTATCTTTTATAGATCTGGCTGGAAGTGAACGTGGTGCAGATACTACAGATAATGACAAGCAGACTAGGTGGGATTCTTTTTTATCTTCAATCAGATTTTGTTAGCTGATATTTCGTTCAAGTAACTGGAAGGCTTACCCAATAATGTGTCTTATATTCAGGAGTAATTACTTTAGATTGCCTATTTGATTTAATTAACTTGTTTCCATTTTTTATTCTAGGATTGAAGGGGCAGAAATAAATAAAAGCTTACTTGCTCTGAAAGAATGCATTAGAGCTCTTGACAATGATCAAGGGCATATCCCTTTCAGAGGAAGTAAATTGACTGAAGTTCTGCGAGACTCTTTTGTTGGTGATTCACGTACTGTAATGATATCATGCATTTCACCTAGTTCAGGTTCATGTGAACATACTCTTAACACATTAAGATATGCTGACAGGTATGTAGTTTAAAATATTTCTGGTCGGGAAGTGATTGATCTGTATAATAAAATGTTCTAATTGACAGTTACATTTCAGGGTGAAGAGCCTGTCCAAAGGGAACAGTTCTAGAAGGGATCCCCTTTCTAACTCAAACCTTAGAGACTCCACTGTGTTGCCTGGGTCTTCAGTTTTATCTCATGATGATACCTTTGAGGAGGAAACAACATATGTTTCCAGTGATAGGAATCAATTTGGTTGGCCCAAACAACAGGAAAGAGAACCCTCTCCTCCAAATAATGTGGAGCGTGTTCCAAGTGGTAGAATGGGGGGAAATTTGGTGCCATCTGTGTATTCTGATCCACAAAATGGTCAACGAGGTAGTCAAAATGACAGAACTGCAAATGAATATGATTACCTAGGACCAACATATGAACAAGACAAAACAAGAAAGACAAGTAAGAGGGTGGATAACAACCAGTTATCTGCTGTGGAGGACAAGAGAAAGAAAGAATCTCGTGTTAAACGTGTGGATGCATCACATTCTGAGGCTAATCATTCTGATCCCGACGATAATTTAAATGCTCTCCTGAAGGTATATTATTCTTTTTCCATACTGACTAAAATGTTATTGACCATTGAAGTACTGAATGGTGCCTGTTATGCTTTGTAAATAGGAAGAGGAAGATCTTGTAACTGCACATCGGAGACAGGTGGAGGAAACAATAGACATTGTTAAGGAGGTGGGTACAACTCTTATACCGTTCTTTGATGATTTACCAAGCTTGGTTATTTTCTTTAATATTGTGAATTCCTTGTGCAGGAGATGAATTTACTCGTCAAAGCTGACCAACCAGGAAATCAACTGGATGATTATATTTCCAAATTGAATACCATTTTATCACAAAAGGCTGCAGGAATTTTTCAGTTGCAAACACAGTTGGCTCAATTTCAGAGACGTTTAAATGAGTATAACGTTTTTGTATCTTCTGGTAATTGATGGTGCTAATGAGCAAATTATTGATGTGTTGTGGATGAGGAGTTCTTCGTGCTCATGGATATTGCTTCTATGATTTCATTGCCGTGGATTGTTTCTCAATTGTTAAGAATGTTGATGTTGACAAGATTATTGTGGGTTTTGGAGTGCAGAAGAAATAGGAATCAAACCCGTCTTCGTTCTATAGTTGATTGTATAGACTAGTCACTGTTGTGACTTGAACTGAACTAAATATAAAAATGGTATGTCCACATGCTTATTTAAAATTCTATTATCACCTGTGGAGAGTACAATGTAAAGTCAGACTACCCTTTTGGGGGTTGCTTGTAGTTTGCAACCGAAATATGTAAAAAAATTTGTCTGTGCACTGTCTTCCTTACTTTGAATGTGGCATGTTTGTCGTGTCTTGTCCTGTATTATTGGTTCAGAGTGAACCCTTATATTTATCCTCCCGTTCATGATGATGTGAAACCTAGGCAGGTGTTATGGAGTGATTTTGGGTTGTTGAGCGAAGGATTCTGGATATGAAGAGTGAAGGGTCACTGCCTCACTGGAATCCCGTCGAAATGCCCTGATCGTTGTTTCTATTTGCTTCGGTATATATCAAGGTGTGCATGCTAGAAATTGACTCTTTATATGGATTATTATCAGCAGTGAAAGAAATAGTTCAAGAGCCTGCTAAATTCCCTTTAGTCACAATCTGCGGGTTGTACCTTTGTTGCTTGCTTCTCAAAATATTTCCAAGCAAATGCAGATAATGAGTTAGTTGGGTCCCCTGGTGATTCTGATAATTTCATACATAACTTGCAAAATTCCAATTGAATTCCTTTTTGTCGTTCTAGACACTTGTCCCCTATTGATCACCATTTTCGTGCCTGTCTTTCAAATCACGACGCAGACACAGGTCGTTTGACATGTCTATGTGTCAAAATAATTGATGCATTTTATCATGATAGGTGCACAGTCCAATAGGGATACTCACTGTCCATGCCCAACATGTTTTCGTCTGTTGTACCTAAAGTTTGGTGATGTGGCATTCTTTGGTACTATGATTACATCCAAACATTAAGCGTCGTCATGAATTCTAGTCGAGCTACGATCATTGGAGTCTACTAGGCCACGTATTTTATGCAACAAGAACATTGATTCAAAGGGGCGCTTTGATTTTCAGCCCAATGAAATTTATTATGTTCTATGTTAGCAACACCATGTTACATTTCTTGAGAAATTTAAATGTTTTATGAAGTTTGCTAAATTTTATATTTGTCACATCAAATAGTTTTGGCCTAAATTTTGATTGGGTCAAGGTATAATTTCATTTTATAATAAAATCATATAAGAAAAAAAAAGTATTTGTATGGTTAGTATTTCTTCCCTTTGAGAATGTTATCTTTGTCTATTACCCTTATCTTGATGAGGACCTTGCTGTAGTTTAGGCGGACAACAGGCATGACATGCTGATTCTAAACCCTACATCGTATTGGGATTTGGGACAATTGCTAATTGCCATAGCTTCCACCGTGCTTTTTACGCTTGGCCTGAAAAGTGAAACCTTTTTCAGATTCTGGTGAATGAATACACCAAACAGTGCCATTGCAGCAAAGAAAAGCTTAAAGCGTTTGCTGCTTTATGCTTATCATTGTCTTGTAAGGCTCTATATATAAATTTATCAAACATAAAAATTTAATTATAGTACACATTAAACACGGATTTAAATTAAATAATCAAAATCATTTAGATATTATTTTAAATGAATTAATCAAAATATAAACATAAATTGTTATATTATTTTTAAATCAATTATCAGTGTTACAATATGTTTAAATCTAATTTCCCCTATAAAAAAATATGTTTAAATCTAATTAAGTTTAACTGGGTGTCAAAAAAAATTAAGTTTAACTCGATTTATGATAAAATAAAGTTCTTAATTAATTTTTTAAATTTGGATTAGAAAACTGACCATTTTTTTGGGTTCAGTTTTTTAGATTTTGAAAGAATTAATTCGATTTCGAATGTCCTTATTTACTTAATTGTATCCATTTACGCCAGCAAAATAAATCCACGTGTAAGATCATGTTGACCTACTATAACCCGTACGAAGGCATAAATAATTTTAGAGGTCGTTAGTGAGAACTTTCATAGTGCAACTGGTGACGCAACTGATAAAACTTGACGAATCCCTACGATGTATAGATCCATTTTGCATCAAAAGATGTTCTGTAGCAAGAAATGCAAATTGGACATTTAATTTTAATTTAAATATATTTTTAACTTCTCAAATTTAAGATAAATTTATTTTTGCCACTTAAATTTAAAATTATTATTTTTAATCCTTATAATTTAAAAAAAAAATTATTTTAGTCTCTTAAGTCTTCAATAACTTTTCTAAAAATGACATATTGAAATAATTATGCAATATCAATTAAATTTAATATGAAGCTTTCATTACCTAAGATATAGTAGATTTTATGTCACATTTGATAGATTTACTAATTTTATGTCACATTTGATAAATTTACTAACAAAATTTAAGCATGGAGACAAAATTTTTTGAAATTACAAGAACTAAAAAGACCAATTTTAAATTTGAGAGACTAAAAAAATTTACTTTAAATTTGAAAAAATAATATAAATTTAAATATGTTTTTAATCTCTCAAATTTAAAATTAATTTTTTAGTCATGTAATTTCAAAAAATTTATTATAGTCCTTATAATCAAATTTTATTAAAAATTGTGTCACATAAAATTTACTTATTATTTCTATTAGTGAAAATATCACATTAAATCCAAATAATACTATATAATTATTTTAATTTATCATTTTTAATGACATAAAGGATTAAAATAAAATTTTTAAAAATTTCATGAATTAAAAGTAACAATTTTTAATTTGAAGTACAAAAAAAATTTATTCTAAATTTGAGGAAGAAAAATATATTTAAGCTTTTAGTTTTATATTAATATTTTAAGTCGGTAGACATGGTTAACTGCACATGAAATCCAAAACCTAGCACACAAAAGTTCGAGTGTATCGTTTCACTGTAGTCTGTAGAGATATGAGAATCTCTAATGAGTAGTGACAGCCACCACCAGTAATTTGATTTGCCATCTACTCTCCACGTGTCGCCCTACTTTCTCCTGTTATCTGTCTTGTCTTCTTTTCAAGGACACCATGAAAACCTAGACAAAATGGAGCAAAGTCAAGGACGAACCTGTGATGTTGTTATTTGTCAAAACCTTCTCATATCTTATAGTTGCTTGGAAAATTGGTAACACCCCTCACACAAATAGAGAATGAAGCTATACTTTAATTTTATTTTACTTTTGGCTGGGCGAGAATCAGATTGATTTTGAGATTGGAAAAAGATATGATTGTATGTAACATTGGATAAAGTTATTTTGAATCATATGATTCATACTAGGGTCTTATGAAAAGCATAACATGGCAAAAAACCCCAACAAATTCAGGTCTTCAGAAATTTTCTTTTAATGAAGCAATGATATATAGGTACACATGTATCCCATTACCACCTTACCAAGTCATGAGAAAAGCAAGTTGAATCCAACTTACTAGCTAAACATTTATGCCAATACAAGTTGTTGATGTATACGTGCATGTCTTTATTTAAAGTACTATACTTATAATCGGTTGATAGAATAAATGACAAAAATGAGTTGATAGATAGAACTCCATAGTCACTTCAATTAATGCAGCTAAGAAAATTTTCATACAAAAGCATCTCCAAAGAACTTACTTGAAGTTGAAGATGTACTGGACCCTTCTTATTATAGATATATATATTTTTTATATACTTAATTGTATTATAAGTCGGCTTAAGACAACTTAATTACTTAAGTCACGGCTCTAGCTATAGTATTTCTCTTGATACGACACTAAGATTTTGTAAATGGTTCGAAATCTTTTTGATGTTACCTTAATGTGCCTATCATCTACTTTCTCTCAAACCCTCCTTAAAATTTGTTTCCATTGTTGTCAACAACCACTCGTGGGTAAACTACTAAGATTTTGAGGGGAAAATTGAAATCCATTGTACCTGATGAACAATTTAAGGAGGTTAAGTAAGAGAAATTATTAAATGATTCTTGAATTAATGCATTGTCTTTAATTAATCTCTATATTAATCAAGTGATAATAATTTTTTCTTAATTAAAAAATTTAAATATATATAGTAACTGACTGAGACTACAAAAACTTCACAGTTTCTCGTGAAGTAAACCTACCACGCAAATTTAGCTATGCAAAACTTGAATCTGGTAAAGCAAGTCAAAAACACTATTAACTAAGATATAAGGGGAATATTTTATTTACTTTTAATTTTAATTATTTCAAGTAATTTATTGGTTGTCTCACTGATTCAGGTGTTGGAAAACTTGTTCTTCAAGAGTTTGTTTATCAAACATAGACCTTAATAAAATGTTCCGCTGAATATACTAACAACTTAAATCAACCAATCAGTTACTTAATCTGCTTCATTACACGCAAATTATTTTTTGGTCACTTAACCAACTAATCAAACACTGGAATCTGCTTCACTGTTTAGTGCTATAGTTCTCTTGTTTACTTAATCAAGAGATAGGACAAAGAAGGGGTCGTCACTCTTTGCCCCAACTTAATGTAAATTTACCTAAACTTGACCAGAATTATTTCCACCACTAAAACGAACGTGACAAAACTAACCAAAATTAGTATATTTTAGTTCGAGTAAAGAATATATTAAAATAAAATTTTCTATCCATTTCTATAAAGAGTAGAGATGTTAAATATTGAAAAAAAATTGTATTAAAATAATATTTAATCAATAAAAATCGCATTTTGTAAATATAGATTAATTATTGATTATTAATTTTTAAATACTGCATGCACAGATATATCTATAGAAAAAAAATGTTAAAGAAAATAGTCAAATAATTTAACTATGATAACATTTGATGAACTTATGTATTTTATGTTTTATTTATTTGACCTAAAACATTAGCAATACATTTTTAGCATAATTTCTTAAAAAAAAACACTTCTATTCATTGATTCCTCGAGTTTTACCTTAGCGAAAACGGTAAACAAAAGCTGTATTAGTTGATGTAATCTAAACCTCAGATTTCTCATTAATTTGTGTCCAATTGGGTATGAATTGTCATAAATGGAAGATGAAGTCATGAATTAAATCAAAGAAGGGAATTCTCTTGCTTATCCAGTTATTAAAAGACAGGTGTTGTGTGTATACATAAGTCATAACTTTGTAGGCCCAGAAGTTAATACTAATTTGGGTAGTACCCTCAAGCCAAGGGCAGCAGAAATGCGGGAAAAGAAAATAAATCACAAGCAAACAAGAGATGAAAAGATTTAAATGCATGCATGTACGTCAAACTCCAT